CTTACAACCAGACTAGAGCACTTGTTGTAAGTTGGAAAAAAAGGACCCAAGCCAGACAAAGCACTTGCTATAAGGTTTAAATTAAACCTGTAACCAGACAAAGCACTTGCTACAGGTTTAAATTAAACCTGTAACCAGACAAAGCACTTGCTACAGGTTTAGAGAAGGGCCTAATGTAACCAGACAGAGCACCTGCTACAATAAGGCTAAAGAAAAGTAATTGTTAGAGCGCAGTCTCACGACTCTACTAGCGTTGCTAGGCCAATGGTGACTTGGGCACAATTTAAGTAAGAGAAACAACAATAAGTTTGAATCTGATTTTATTAATGAAATTGATCACCTTTTATATACAATAAATGCTGATTTTGCACACATCGATTGTCGTCATTTCCAATAATAAAAGTAGGTTGCTTATAATTAATTAATTCTAATATGTACAGTATGGTAAAAATATTAAGATTAAATGTTCCAATTTGGATAAATGGACAACCTCGAAAAATACCCTTGCTTCCAGTTGGGTTTAAAATGTCCGAATTTTGTTTAAAATAATTTTCAAAAATGCTGTTTTCATCCCACATATTTAAACGTGCCGGAATGGCGCCATTGTATGACATATACAGGGTGATTGATGGTCGATGGTAGGTTAGACGTTTATGGAAAACGGAATGTTGGATATTTTTGAAAATTTGCATGCTCAAGTAATTGCTCCTGATCTATAATTCTAAAATAATTTCAACGATGCGACGTTGCCGCTTATACCAAAAAGTAATATGAACTTTGAAATTTTAAATGAGACACTTATTTTTTCTTCAAAACATAGCTCTAGTTAAATTTGTATTACTACGTCCCTGAGATTCGTAGAAAGTTTAAATTTTGAAGATAACTTAGAGGGAGGTCCTGCATATTACTTTTGAGCAAGAAAATTTGTTCTACATTATACAGGGTTGGTCAAAATTAGTAATTGTGCTGCCAGGTACAAAAAAGATGAAAAGTGCACTTTTTCAAATAGAACACCCTGTATATTATGACATATTATGAAAGGCAATTAAAATCCCTTACAAATGATGTATCATGTTCCTATAGGTACCTAAATAGTAAGGTTTCGGAAATACAGGCAAGTTTCTGTAAAAATTTGATTATAGCAGTAACAAGTGTGTTAAGTGAACTTTTTTTCACGAATGTGACGTGCGACAATCACAGGAGTAAAAAAAGGTACTGTACACACCTATTGCATACAACATTTTTTCTACTCTCAATAAAATATATGAGAAAAATAAATTTAGACAAATACTTCACGCACTAGTCCGTGAAGTAATTTACCAGAAAAAGAAAAATACTAAATTGACAGTGTCGACATCTGTCATTGACATTACTTTACACCCTAGTGTGTGAAGTGAAATTTAACGTCTTCGCAATAGTGCATAAAGTGAGTACTTTACGTGAGGCAGTAGAAAAAATACTGTCACAACCTATTTTGTTGCAACTGGGGGTTTGGGATCTTTTTTTCCTTGACCGCATGTGGATTTTGATTAGCCCAAAAGCAGCAAAGTGTTGATTTCTCCTATCAAAAATACCTTCTCTAGAAAATTTAGCTTCATCGGTCCATATTAATTTTTTTTTAGAAAGTTTAGATACTCATAAGTTTGTGTCAGAAGTGTCTCTTAATATCGAATTTGACGTTGGTAATCATCCGGTTTCAGCTGTTGAACTTTTGTGAATTTAAAGGGATGCATATTATGGTCGTTAAAAATTTTCTGCACATAATAATAGTTCAGGTCTAAATCACCTGCTCACTTCGGATGGAAGTTTGGGGATATGCGTGAAAGTAGGCTGAAACATTCATGATGTTTCTTCATCAGACGTTACAGGCTTGGGTAAGCTTGGTTCATTCTCAAGTTTTGAATTAAATTGTATAAAGTTATTTTTTGTGCAACCGACCGCAAAATTCAATTTCGCGGCCGCCACACCTGACCTGCAAAATGGTTCAAATCCTTGTCCAATTCATACAGTTGTTTTGTAACTTTACATAATTTTTATAATTGCACAAAAAATAGTGTGTATACCATGACCGCGAAACTTTTTAGCGTACGTGAGAGTATCTTACCTCGGCCGCTTGCCTCGGCGATAACTTTTCTCTACGTACGCTAAAAAGGCATTTCGCGGCTTTCGTATACAAATAACTATTGTGTCCGAACAAATTGTCTTTCATTCATTGGTTGTAAATCAGGGTACATTTCGTTGAACTTTTTGCATATTCTTGCTACAATTTTTTTGCAGATTTCTTCTTTTTGACGTTTTGTAAAGTTTTGCTGTGCGAAAAACCAAATAAACTTGCTGACAGCTGATGGCAGGCAATTTTTTTAATTAAAAATAATTTTTGATACCAAAATTATCACTTCTGATTGGTCAAAATTAACAGGAGGGAAATAGTCATGGTAAAATGTATGGCCCACTTCCATAGATGCCTATAATACCTAAGACTTTTATGACGTCATTGGATTGAACTGTCAAAAACACCGTGAGTAGGAAAGAGACAAAAACAAAACAATGACAATATTTTTGCATATCACACATTGTAAAAAGTGAACCATCTTATGCATTTGTTTTTTATTCCTAGATAATAACTTCGATAATAACCATGGTTCCAATCACCTGCCAATCATGTGGTTTGTATTGTTTGAATTACCTAATATGTTTCATCGTGACATAGCTATTTAATGACGATTCGGGTTGGTAAAATGAGTGTAAAGAAAAAGTATTTCTATCTGTTTCTACAACAGGCTGAAAGAAAGATATGAAAATATACTCAGTGTGAATTAAATCTACCAATTGGAAGAGACACTTCTGACACACACATACGAGTATCTAAACTTTCTAAAAAAAAATTAATATGGACCGATGAAGCTAAATTTTCTAGAGAAGGTATTTTTGATAGGAGAAATCAACACTTTTGGGCTAATCAAAATCCACATGCGGCCAAGGAAAAAAAGATCCCAAACCCCTAGTTGCCACAAAATAGGTTTTGACAGTATTTTTTCTACTGCCTCACGTAAAGTACTCACTTTATGCAAAAAATTTTGTATGCAATAAGTGTGTACAGTACCTTTTTTTACTCATGTGATTGTCGCACGTCACATTCGTGAAAAAAAGTTCACTTAACACACTTGTTACTGCTATAATCAAATTCTTACAGAAACTTGCCTGTATTTCCGAAACCTTACTATTTAGGTATAGGAACATAATACATCATTTGTAAGGGATTTTAATTGCCTTTCATGATATTTCATAATATACAGGGTGTTCTATTTGAAAAAGTGCACTTTTCATCTTTTTTGTACCTGGCAGCACAATTACTTATTTTGACCAACCCTGTATAATGTAGAACAAATGTTCTTGCTCAAAAGTAATATGCAGGACCTCCCTAAGTTATCACCAAAATTTAAACTTTCTACAAATCTTAGGGAAGTAGTAATACAAATTTAACTAGAGCTATGTTTTGAAGAAAAAATAAAGAAATTATTTAATAAGTCGAAAATCACTAGAGATAGGTATAGGACAGTATTATACAAGAATGATCAGAAAGTAATAGCGGAGCGAAAAATGCAATAATATACAGGGTGTCTCATTTAAAATTTCAAAGTTCATATTACTTTTTGGTATAAGCGGCAACGTCGCATCGTTGAAATTATTTTAGAATGATGGATCAGGAGCAATTACTTGGGCATGCAAATTTTCAAAAATATCCAACATTCCGTTTTCCATAAACGTCTAACCTACCATCAACCATCAATCACCCTGTATACACTTTCCGACTAATAAGAATCGTTCACAATAGCTCCGGCGCACATCTTATATCTAATATGGTGAATTGGGAACAAAATAACATAAAGCTGCGACTAGTCTCAATCGATAGGATTTATGGTCTTGATGAACATACTAAAAGTCCCCAGATCTCCCCCTAGGGGAACATTGTCAAAAGAGCGTCGCCATCTTGGATTTTTGACATTTTTTGCTTAATGTACGTTTTACTCAAAAACTACTCATTTTTCGAGAAAATATGAGGAGTGATAAATTGAAGAGCACACACAAACCTATGAAAAAAGTTATTTTTAGACTTTTTGGATACTACCCCTACTGAGATAGGTACCACAGAAGTACTGTCAAAAAACAATTTTTTGCCTAATTTTCATTTTACTCATAAACTACTTACTTTTTAAGAAATATAAAGAGACTTAAATGGAAGAATTAAATCTGAGGTACATAGGTACCACCGAACATCCGCGGTAGTACCCTTACCAAAATAGGAGCCGATGGAGTACCTACCGCCGACATAGGATTTTTATTTATTTTTTTCTTTTTGAGAGAAAAGCATTAGCAGGAAATTTCATATTTCTGATATGGGTACTCGCGTGCGGAAAGTATCACTTTTCCGCGCGCGATTACACTTGGCCGAACGATGCGAAGCGGAGTTCTGCCAAGCAATCAAGTGAGGAAAAGAGACTTTCCGCACGAGTATGGAACGACACTTGCGGAAAAATTCATTTTCCGCACTTGTTAGGTAAATAGCTATTTAATTCGATTTAAATTAAATGAATAGTAAAAACTTGATAGTTGGAAATTATTGAAAGCGGGACGCCTAATAAATCGGGACTCGAAGCTCGAAATCGGGACTGTCCCGCCTAAATCGGGACGGATGGCCACTTAACTTAATGTGTACCTACACTTTGAGTCTACCTTTGTAAAAATGGCATGGCCGTAAATGAAGAATTTATTTATTTATGGAAAAAAAGTAAGATCTTAGCGTTTGCTGTGTTGTCTCCCTAGTACTTTTTTCCCTTGTATAATAAATAACTATTGAAACTGAAACTTCCAAAATTACAAGAAAAAAGATAGAATCGCATTTTATGCAAAAAAAGCCTCCACTTTCAGATATAAGCACAAATTTTAATAATCCTCTTTTTATTGTTATACTTACAGCATTATTTTAAAAAGAGACAATATAATTGCAAAGTATGAATTTATTTCCATTCAAATTTCTACAGAAACAGACAGTCATAAAACAGTTTTCCTTGTAAAATATAAAATGTTTCAAATTAGATCTACAATGGCTCACATTTTGCCTCTTTTATTGCCAGATGGCGGCTTTTGCAACTGAAAAGAACTATTATAAAAAGACTGGCCGAAGGAGGGAGGCTGTCCAACGTTGCTTGTACCAAAAAGGGTTGCGTTTGAATGTTGCGTTGCACCTAGAGGACCAAATCCACTAACTCCGAAACCTTAATTACAAGTGAAATATTTTAATTATTCCTTAAAACAAATCAATTAACTCCTACCTGTTGTAGCATTAGAAGAAGTTCCTGGATAAGCCGGAGGAGGGTTATTCTGTGGCTGAGGACTAACTCCTAAAGTAACTGCCTGCAAAGCCATGTTATTAAATGGTGTGGGTCCGGTTGCAATTTTAGGCAGTGAATGAGTGAAAGCGTTTTGCGCATCATAAAACATTTTAGCTGTTCCAATTTTATCAAAAGGATTACTTGTATCTTGTAAAACATGTTTTCTCATGTTTAAGTAAATTTCTTTTTGCGATTCTACTTGGCTATGCACTGCATGTAATTGTCCAGCGAGGGCCACAAAAGCATCTTGAAGCCTTTTCATACCCTCAGAAAGGTCTTGTGGGGTTAAACTATCTGGATTTTTATGATTCCTGACATACCTATCGACAGCTTCAATTTGGGATTTTATATTTTGCATATCCTTCTCAAATTGATCTGTGAAATTGAGAAAAACCTCTATAGGTGCTGTATTATCGTATTGTAAACCAGGAGGCGTATCATGAGTCATCTGAGCAATCTCAACAAAGCGAGCAATATTAGCTGTGTGATATTTCAATTTTTCAGTGGCCAGTTTGTCCTTTTGCAATTGCTTTTCTATGTCATTCAACTGACTAATAAGGAGATCAATCCCTTGTTCATTTTTTCTGTAATCTCTGGTTGAACACCTGGCTATATCAGAACTACAAAGTTTCTGATACTTGAGAGTATTTTTAAATTCTTCAACTGTTTGTAAGATTTCATTTGGCAAAGTCTGACCTTTTGGTGGGATTTCTTTTTGCGTCGTTACTGCATTTTTAGCTGGTGCAAAACTGTTAATTCCACCTAAACCCACTCCCGCCACTGAAGCTTGAGTAGTTGATGTCAAGCCTATGGAAGTTGAGGTTGCACCACCTAGTCCACCAAAACCTATTGAAGTATATTTTAGCCTATAATAATTTTATAGAAGAAAAATCTCACCAAAACTTAGATTGGGAGCAGCAGAAGTTGGTGCTGGAGCTGCGGAGGTTGGGAGACTCAATTCAAAAGTTGGGGGTGGAGCTGTTGTGGTTATGGAAGTTCCTAATCCAGGGACTGTAGCATATGCTAGAGCTGGTGCTGAAACGAAGTTTGAGAAAATTCCATTTTAAGAATATGTATAATAAATACGTTAAGGTATTTAGCAAAAAAAAAAATTGTTTTTATTTAATTAATTAAAATGCATCAATTCTGATTTTATAGTTTTTTAACAGTATTTTGGTGGATATAGCTGAAGCACGAATGCACATTTCAAATCAACCTCAAGTTTTTTATGAATACTATCTTAATGGCACATCGTGTTTATCTCGGCTAAGTACTTTACAGAAATATACTTTATTAGCAAGTTCTGATGGAAGATGCTAATGCAGAGCTTGCAAGAGAACTATTAGTAAGATCACGAGGCTCGAATTTGGGCCACCCTGTACATGCTATTTCAAGTTTTAGTAGTTTAATATTATTTTTCCAAGAAGCAGAAATTTTTATAAAGAATAATTTTTTTTTTGTAAAATTGATAATAAAAAAGTTTTCCATATGCTGCGAACTTAAGTGTACACACTGTATATTAGCCCTGATGAAGCCCTAAACTTTTGGGCGAAACATTGGCAAAGACTTAACAGGCCTTTAATTTTTCTTGTCCTAACCGACGAATCACCCCCTTCATTAAATTAAATTATGTCAATAAGCTGAATAAGCTCATAGGGGGCTATCAAAATACTTATCTATAATAAAAATATACCTAATACCAATATACAGGGTGTTTCAGAAATGGTGTTACAAACTTCAAGGGCAGATAGTATTCATGAAAATAATTTAAAATGTTCCTATGGATATAGGTCCGGAAACGCTTTGTTTCCAAGATACAGGGTGATACGTTTTTCAAAAAAAAAAAATAGTTTTTTATGAATAGCCCAAAAGAGCTTTGACCGATTTCAATGAAATTTTCACGGTTTATTTCAACCATTATTAGACATCTACTGGACTAATTAGATTTGATCCAGAATTCCCAGGGGCGTACCCAGCGACCAAGTCGGTTGTTTTTGTGCAGACAAAAATATCACTTTGTAGCGAGATAATTGAAAAATTTAAGAGACCAAAATGTTGTATTTTTAGTATGTCTATCTGAATAATCAATAAAAATCGTACAAAAACTACAGAGTGATATTTTTTCCGCACAAAAACAACCGACTTGGTCGCTGGATACGTTTCGACAATAATTAATTATTATTATTATTTCTGGATGTTTTTGACTCAGTTGCAGACTAATCCTAGGGTAAGAGAAATATTCTGACCTTGTGCTGTAACTCTCAGCGCTTAGTTGATGAAATACATTTTTATTCCTATGCAAAAACATGAGGCATTCAAAAATATACAAAGCATGTACTTTCAATACTCCCAATTGTCTGAAAACATTTCTATAAGACTGGTTGAAGTCCATTTTCTTGACTTATCTAATCACTCTTTTTTGAGCTACGAAACATTCCTGAATAGCTGCGTTCCTACCCCAGAAAATGATTCCACATTTCAATGTGGATTCAAAGTAAGCAAAATACAATATTTTTAAAGTTAATTCATTCATATATTTGCCAACTACTCTTATGCCATAGCAGACTGAATTCAACTTTTTTATTAATTGATGGATATAAAAGTACGAATCCAAATGTTCATTTATATACAAACCCAGGAACTTTGTGTTTTGTTCTACAATTAAGTTGTCATTTCCTATGCCTAAATGTTCTTATTTTTCCAAATTGGACTGTTTGGTCCTAAAAAGTAAAGCATTGGTTTTTTGGGCGTCGAGACTTAGCCTGTTTTTAACAAACCATTCGCTTACTTTGCCAAAAAAATAATTGGTATTAGTTAAGAGGTGACGAATACTTTTGTTTCCAATTAACAGGTTAGTGTCCCCTGAATAATTGATTATTATTTGATTGGGATTTTCTGACATAGTATCATAGTATTATACTGTATATCATTTATATATAGCACAAAAAGGATGGGTCCCAAAATGCTACCCTGAGCTATACCATGATCGTTAAAAAAAAAATTGATTTGTAATTCTGATTATATTAAATTTAACTTTTTTAGAAGTATATCCCTATCTAGACAATCGTAGGCCTTTGATAAATCCAGGAACAGTCCAATCGCAGCTTTCCCCTTCTCAAAGAAATCCAAAATAAATGGTATATGGCAGTTTGAGTGGATTTTCCCTTCAAGAAGCCATGCTGACTGTTGTTAAGTAAATGACAATCATTCATAAATTTTGTTATTCTTTTACACATAACCAATTCAAAAATCTTGGAAAATCCAGGCAATAGACATGGCCATTTCCACCAATTATTTTAGGGAACCCTTAACGATAAGTATGCCCTAAACTGACATTTCTCCACGGAAGACTGTCATTTTAAGAAATACTTATTATTAAATTTGGCATAATTGTCAGGAAGCTCATTTTAAGAGATCTGACCCGACTAGCCATGCTCTACGACCCTCAAGACTCCTAATCTTGCGTTTTTTTTCAAAATGGCGGACGGGAATTTCCTCAATTTCAAAATTAATTCACTTGGGCATGATTATACATTTTATTATATAATTTGAGGTCAAGGAATTCAAAAAAAATATCAAAACGATATGACCTTCAGTAACCTTGAAAATTACAGTTTAATTCAATTTTAAAATAATTTTAATATAACATGTTTGAAACCGCCAAAAGAAGGGGGTTAAAAATCAAAAATGATTGCTTAGCATAACATAAAAATTAAAATATCTTATCAAAGACGAAAAGTTTCTTTTATAATAGATCAGCGCTGGCTGATGCGGTAGTACTAAGGTACATGAAGCCATGTCATTACCTTATTTTTCACAGAAATGTTTCAAAGTATCATATGAAGGATAGAAAATCTTGTTTTTTCAGAAAAATAAGATATTGCCATGGCTCCGTGGCGCCGGCCGTGGCACTACCTCACCAGCCGCTTCAACAGATACTGCAAACTATAGGGATCATTGGTTTTGACATTCGCCATTGCAGTTAGTACATGCGGGTGTACAAGGTAGACCTGCTTTCTGACACGAACATCTGTTGGTCTCACTTTGACTTTTACATCCACACTTCTCTAGTACTCTAAGAGCTCACCTAATTTGTGCTAGCTGGCTCTCAGCGGTTGTTGGTTAAATTCAAACCCCATCCTCCAGGTGGTGGAACAGATTCACCGGGTGACAGCGATCGACCCCATATTTGACCGGCTTTGATACGCACCTCTTCTGTAGTCTTCCATTAGACTGTATTGTGACGGTGGACACATGGCTGTTGGTCGTTCTCCACTACGAAACTGCACCTTACTCAATTTACTAACTTTTTCAACAGATCAGTGGTGGCTAGTGCGGTAGTGGTAAGGTACATGAAGCAATGTCATTACCTTATTTTTCATAGAAATGTTCCAAAGTATCGTATGAAGGTTAGGTTATAAAACCCATTTTTCGGGTTTTGACATTCGCCCTTGCAGTTAGTATATGCGGCCGTACTATAGCTTTCCTATACGAACATCTGTTAGGTTAGTTTCACATTGACCTTTACAGCCACACTTCTCTAATCCTCTTAAAGCTCACCAAATTTGTGCTATGTATATCTGTGGTACTATATATTAAAGATAAACAATGGAAAGCCAGGGTTGCCTTCAGATAATCTTCCCATGCTTTCCATGCTGTTGTTTCCTTTCAATGCAAAAAAAGAAGTAATGTCGCACCCCGTAAAAGCGACGCAGTGCTTACGATTTTTCCCAAATGATTTGCAACGTTATGAGCTATAATATATCTTTGTGATTTGCTTACCCCATATAGATACCATAATTCCTCAAGGCCTGAGGAGTTCAATATATAAAAAATATATTCCTATTATTGCAGCTGTGTCCGAGAATCGTACTGAAACGGATTTAGCTCCATTTTGGGCCAAATGTTTAACATAATGTCAAAACCAGTCTGGATGGACTATCTTGTACCGACCTGGAGGAAGCAGATGGAAGAATGTTTCTACATGTTAAGTCCTTGACCCTTGAGGAATTATGGTAGCTTGTATATGGGGTTAACAAATCACAAAGATATATTGCCGCTCATAACATTGCAAATCATTTATCGGGACTTGAAAAATCTTTAGCATTGCGTGGCTTTTATGCTTTCAGGGGGTGCGAAACTACTTCCTTTTTTGCATTCAAAAGAAAAAACAGAGAATGGAAAGCACATGGAAAGATTATCCAGAGGCAACCCTGCCCATCCATCATTTATCTCTAATGGATAGTAGCACAGATATAGCACAAAAAATATTCAAAATTTTAGAGAAATTTACTATACCAGTATATGATGCAAAAAGCAAACTTGAAAAAGTTAATAAATTGAGAAAGGTGCAGTTTCGTAGTGGAGAACGACCAATAGCCATGTGTTCACCGTCACAAGATAGTTCAATGGAAGACTACAGAAGAGCTGCGTATCGAGCCAGTCAAATGTGGGGTCGGGGTCGATCGCTGTCACCTGGTGAACCTATTCTATTTCCTGGAGGATGGGGTTGGAATTCAACCAACAACCGCTGGGAGCCAGCTAGCAGAAATTTGGTGAGTTCTAAAAGACTAGAGAAGTGCGGACGTGAAAGTCAAAGTGAATCAGAAAGCAGGTCTACCTTGTACTAACTGTGCATTTTTTATTAATTTATCATAATCTTTTTTTGTGGCTTCATATTGATTATTATTATTACTTAATGTTAAAAGTAGCCTTTTTTTACAATCAATAATCTCTGGAGTGACTTCTTTTGTTCACTGTAAACTTTTTTTAGAAATGCTGGTGGAATATTTGACTTAGGTACCCGCAAAACTATTCCACTTTTTTTTTGTAACCTATATCTCTTTCATGTCAAAATTTTGAGGTTTTTCTAGAATTAAAATAATCTGTTTCAATTAACTTTAAGTTTACTTTTATGCAAATTGTGCTATTTAGGTAAGACCATGACCTGTAATTGTACATGCTGAATAAATACCTAAATAAATAAATGAATAGACTCTTATCCACTTTAAATACATTTGAAAAGTTTTCATTTC